TTGTATGTATGGATCACTTGGGTTGTTACCGACATCTGGTGAAAATTTCATGTCATTAGCACCTCTAGTAATATATTTATTGAGAAAAATGGTGATGTTTTCAATACTTATTTTACCCGCTGTAAATTAATACCACTATACAAAACATAATTCTGAAAAGTCAAGGTATCTTTATTAAAAACAACAGAATTAACAGATAGAAAGAAAAAGAGGTCATAGATGGATCCTTGAGGAACACCTTCCTTAGAACCTCTAGCTCAGCAGGTTCTTGCAGGTCCAGTGAAGGTTTTACAGAAAACAAATCAGGAAAATAAAACTGCATTCATACGGGACATGTGGTCAGAACTAGAAGATAAACCTGTAAGGTACTGGATTCTAAACCCAGATCCTGGTCCAGATTCTGAGTCCTTCTCAATGACTGAGCAGCCGGAGCCGGGCCAACCAGCCGCCCAGCAGCGATGTGGATGTTTTGGTTCTGCTGGGCCGAGCGGCGCCGACCTCAGCCTTCGTCTCCACCGCCTCCTGGTACCTGAGGGTGGTGCTGTGGTGCAGGTCGGTGTTGATGAAGCACCGGCTTCCTCTGATGTGGTCGGCGCCACGTACCGCTGGGCGACCTCGGTACGGCAGAGGGAAGCGTAGCTCCTCCTCTGTGATGGTGCCGATCCGCTCGTTACTCAGGTACCGGTGCAGGTGGTCATCAGCTGTTCAGGAAACAAAGATTTCAACAGAAACAGTCTGTCACCAACAGGTCCAGAAGAGGAACCCAGACCTCCATCTCCCCAGAGATACTCCTCAGGTTCTCCTGGAGGATACCCGGTGTTCCCAGGTGATCCCAGGCTAGAGAAGATAAATATCCACCGGACACTCTTCCTAACAGGACATGCCTGAAAAACCTCCAGAACTTTGGCTTTAGACTTTTTTCTTCACCACAACAGACCGAAGCAACGCCCTCACTAACGAGGACAACACCTGCTCCATCTTCTGCTCCATGCTCCAGTCATCACTCAGGAACAAGATGTCCAAAAACCTGAACTGGTCTGAAGACGCCATCAGAACAGCGTCATCAACAAGACCCTGAGGTTACCTAACCACACCCCCTGGTCATAAGCCTTCTCTATGTCTACAAAACACCTGTAGACTGGAGAGTCAGAATCCCACCGCCCCATGAAAAGGTGGATATCTGGACCAGTGATCCACGACCAGGATGAAAACCAGACAGTTGCTCCTGAATCTGAATCTGTGGTTTGAAGGTCCGTTTACTGACACCTGGACCAAACTTCCTCTGGTACGCTGATTTCTAACCAGCCTAATTCCCCAGTTTGGTTTTGAAGGCAACACTAGACTGATCCTANCAGTTTGGTCTTAAAAGCAACACTAGACTGATCCTAATCCCCAGTTTGGTCTTAAAGACAACACTAGACTGATCCTAATCCCTCAGTTTGGTCTTAAAGGCAACATTAGACTGATCCTAATTCCTCAGTTTGGTCTTGAAGGCAAGCCTTGATGATCCTAATCCCTCGGTTTGGTCTTGAAGGTAACACTAGACTGATCGTAATCCCTCAGTTTGGTCTTGAAGGTAACACTAGACTGATCGTAATCCCTCAGTTTGGTCTTGAAGGCAACACTAGACTAATCCTAATCCCTCAGTTTGGTCTTAAAGGCAACACCAGATTGATCCTAATCCCCCCCCAGTTTGGTCTTAAAGGCAACACCAGACTGATCCTAATCCCCACCCCCAGTTTGGTCTTAAAGGCAACACTAGACTGATCCTAAACACTCAGTTTGGTCTTGACAGCAACACCAGACTGATCCTAATCCCTCAGTTTGGTCTTAAAGGCAACACCAGACTGATCCTAATCCCCCCCAGTTTGGTCTTAAAGGCAACACTAGACTGACACTAAACCCTCAGTTTGGTCTTGAAGGCGCTGAGCAAATGGACTCCAACTACAGGTTGTGTTTAAGCAGCAGTAGCTCAGAGTGAATCACTGATGAGATACACAACTGTCCTGACCTCGTCTAATAAGGACTTGTGAGACAGAATACAGTCCAGTCAGACTGGTAAGCTCACCTTTTCGTCCCTGAGCCGTGCGCCTGGACAAATTGGACCCACTCAGAACTGAGTCCACAGGCATGGAGACGGGTCGAGCTTTGCCTGTTGAGTTACAAACAGAGCCTTCACGTTAATACGCACTGAAGTGGTTCAGTTCTCAGTCAGAACCACAGGACGGACCAAGCTCAGGTTTCACTCACAGCGTGCAGACGAGCGCTGTCGGAGTTGGACCGGAACCAGCCGTCGGACTTCAGGTCCGGAGTCCTGGAGGTAAACGTCTGCATCCAGAGATGAGTTTGGAGATCTGGGATGGGGGTTTCCGCCTGAAGGTTTTTCTCTGCAGGGAGTGGGATCAGAGTCACAGGTGGCAGAAAGAACCGAACATGAGACTGAACGGTTGAAATGTAAAGAACCAGGCAGGTCATGAGAGGAACTCACAATGGGGGGTGCAGGTCCACAATGGTGGTCTTCCTCCTGGTTCTTGAAGCTTCTGTGGATTCTGGAGATCTGTGGTGACCTGGGGCTATCGGAGACTTCTGGAATAAAACCGACTTTAACTGAGACTTTTATTCTCAAAAAACACAATCCAGTTTTTATCAAATACCAGTCCATTTAAAAATCCACAGGATCCACTAAACCAGAACTGATATTTATTCCAACAAACAGCTTTTATTTTGATCAAACTGTGATCTTTGGCTCTGAGAAGAGCTGCAGGAAAACTGGTTGAAAGAATTGCTGCACCTAATCTGGTACCTGTACCAGTATCTGTGGGATTCAGCAAGAATCTGACTCTGAGGTTAACAACCATTTTATTTAGAAAATCCTGCTGCTTTGTTATTCTTGTTTCATGAAAGGAGGCGGAGTTTCAGCTGCATAACAAAAACAATAATAATTTTATTTGGGTCAACCTTCAGGAAAAAGCAGAGCAAATCTGAGCTAAAGAACAGGAGGGACAATGTCACAAAGACTAAACTCTTATTGTTAAACACTCACATCCTGGACCCGGGTCAACACAAAACCTCGAAGCCGAGGGAGGAAAGTCAATATAAGGAAACAAGTGAGTCACGCTCCATGGAGGGCCTGAACTCAGAGCCTGGTGTTCAGCTCACCACAGGGATGTTTCCTGAAACACAATGCCAGAACCATAAAAAACTCCTCACCTGGACTAACGGTGGTCTCCAGCGTAGGTTTTTCAACAGAGCAGGTGTGAATCCAGATACTCCACACGGCCTCTTCCTTAGCACCAACAAAACACTTCCAGACTCTGCTCTCAGCTTTTCCACCAGGTGTTTCAGCTGCCAGCCGACCTGGACAAATAACAGGGCAGCAATAACAGGTTCAATACCAGAAGATAGAAAGTTTTCATACGTGTCAAGTTGTACAGATCGTCTGTAGTTTTCCTTCATTTAGCAGGGGTACGGACGTACAGGGCAATCTCGTGGATTTTTTCAAGTTTTACAGGTTTTTCAAAACCTCAGTTTCAAGTTTATTGAACATGTCAGAGCCTGTAGGATGTTAAAAAATGTCCAAAAGGGTTGACATGTACGAGATTTCTGGAAACAGCAGCTGTTTTACTTAGCTTAGATTAGATTAGCACAGGTACTGCAAAAATAAGAACTCTCTGCAGATTAGTTTAGCTTAGCATAGGTACTGTAAAAATAAGAAATCTCTGTGGGTTAACTTAGTTTAGCTTAGCATAGTTTAAAAACTGTAAACAGGATGATGCTCCTCAGCCCCTCTGACCAGGGATGTCAGAAACATCAGGAAGTGTTCTGTAAGAAAATACGTGTTTTAATATGGTATGTCCGAATAAACAGGATTCAGCTGGATTTCTTGTTAAAAACTTTATTTCAGTCCTCTGACTCCAATCAGCTTCATTCAGCTCTCAGCAGCACAGGCCTCAGAGTACAACCTTGGGCCAAACCAAAACAAACACGGGAGTCCTGCTCTGAGCAGACACTCTGCAAAACACTGACAACTTCTCTTTACTATAATAATGAATTGAGCTTATAATGTTCATCCCTTCCTGGTTACACCCCAGAAGGTGTTACCTTTTACGTCAGACGTCAGAACGTCATCAGTTTTGTTTAGGCTAAGAGAAAGAACACATGATAACACACCAACTCTTTGTCAGCTTCAACCTTAGACTGAAATGATCAGAAAGTATAAAATACAAAACTGAATCTAATATTCAATTCATCAGTTACAAAATTTCTTCAGTTCCATGCAGTGTTCTCCAGCTCTATGTCTTGTTCCTCAGTCAGAATTCAGTTTTTGAAGCTGCAGATAGATCTTCATGACTGATTTGGTAAAGAAGAGCTGGAACAGTTCCAACTCACCACCGTCTGATTGTTGACCTGGATAACTTCATCTCCAGCATGGATCCTCTGAGTTCTTTCTGCAGGAGACTGAAGAACAGACAGAAATCAGCTTTAGAACATCAGCTTCAGATTATGAGCTTTAGAACATCAGCTTTAGAACATCAGCTTTAGAACATCAGCTTCAGATTATCAGCTTCAGATTATCAACTTCAGAACATCAGCTTCAGATTAACAACTTCAGATTATCAACTTCAGAACATCAGCTTCTGATTAACAACTTCGGGTTATCAGCTTCAGAACATTAGCTTTAGAACATCAGCTTCAGATTATCAACTTCAGATTATCAACTTCAGATTATCAGCTTCAGATTATCAGCTTC